ATCATTTGTTAAAACATGGGCTGGATTTGCACATATCTCCTCGATTTCAGCGATTGAGAACTTTTGCCCTATAAAGCAAAGAATAGAGGTGTAATTAAGCATTTCAATGAGAACTGACACATGACTAAGCCAGGGAAATTGATCTACCAAGCACCTACCTTTCGTAATCAAGCCTAGATTTCCAGAATCTGATAGGGCAAGCCCAACTCCAACCCTCTCTCCAGCAGATAGATTAAGTTCATTTGACAATTTTACAAGGAACATATCACTGACATGTACTGTCTTCAGTGCTTCACAAAAACTGGTGCTGAAGTATGGTTTATCCAGACAATACTTGAAAACAGTTGATAAGAGCTCAGGTTTCAATCGAGAGCTCTTTGCCACGTCGGCATTCAGCAGCACTTCATCCAAACAAACTTGAAGCAGCAAACTGCATCCATCAGGACTGCAGTCCGCTAGCTGAAACAAAGGAAAGGTAAAAAATATTAGAAAGGATTCCACCAACTAAAGCAAATTCCGGTGGAGATAATTATGAATGCAAATGAGTTAGAACAGTTCTGATAACAAGAGACAAGGTATAAATCATTTAGAATGATCCAGAGTCCATAATGCTAAAAACACCATGCACCAATAATACAATAAAATGCAGCGCGTCATTCTGACAAAAATGAGTAATTCTAAGAGCGCCAATACTAAAAAGTCGATGGTGGTCTAGCGGAGTTGATTGTGTAAGTATAAACATAAGACAGACATCCCAAGACATCTGCAATGACAAAGAATGCAAAATCTTGTACAAATTCACAAACATATGCATCTTAACACAATTCTCATCTGAGTATCTGACCACAAGTCAGGCTAAATTCAAAACAATCCAAAGCTTAAGTGTCCTATTCCAACCCAAGAGTAAATTTTGCACGACCATCAAACTGAGAAACTTGAACCATGGAACACGTGCACCACATTGAGGGATCTATGCAACAAAAAAAAAACACCAACCAACACATCCCACGTTATCCAATCGTGAGGAATCCCACCGAAACCCTAGATTAAGTCGCGGAGAAGAGCATCAAAGGCGATGCCCTAGTATCGCTCCTCGTCAATACCCACAAGACAGATAAATCCGCCAAAACCCTAGATCAGCCCTCAAGATTGAGGCGCTTCAAAAAGACGAAATCCAAGCGACGGGGGGGGGGGGCGGATCTACGACCGCGGCACGAACCAATCGCCGCCGCGCAAAACGCCAGGCCGAAACGAAGCACCTCGGGCCGTGGATTTCGGGCCCGGGCGGGGCGGGGCAGGGCGGCTCGCGTTTACCTGGCAGAGCTCGCGGTGGGTGGAGTCGAAGGTGGAGTCGTCCACGCCCTGCACCAGGGAGCGGACATCCTCGGCTACGGCGGAATTGAAGGGGATCATCCCGCCGGCGGCGGCGGCGGCGGCGGCGAGCGCGACGCTGGGAGAGCGAGCTAGGGCGTGTGGAGGTAGGGTGTGTGGGTGCTTCAGTGCTTGCGATGTTGGGCGAGTGCGACGCGATGCGAGCGCCGGGTGATGGGAAATGGAGAGGAGCCGAGGAGCGAGAGAGAGCGACCGACCGTCGTCGGCTACGATTGGGAGACACGTAAATTAGAAAATACGTGTTCGTTCCGAGGACACGAACTACTGCTTTCGAGTCGCTTCTCGGTGAATTTCTATGGTCCAGCCCAGAACCTGTGAAATGCAGAACGATTGGCCCATTTACTTCTGCTCAGGTTTTTGACTAACGCGGCCCATCAGACAGACCATGCCCTTGAAGGGCTCTCCCCATCCCTTTGGAATAAGTCATCCCTCATCTTCCTCCTGATTGAATTTCCTCCCTCAACCATAAAACCGGTATAACATCTCCCCCGTCTCTGAAAACTAGTGCAAAATAACTCCTTCAATGGTTCGGAAAGCGTTTTTTGCTGGGACGCCGGGATTAAGGATCATCGGCTACGTCTCTGTTGATGTAAAAACACGAGGCCTTGGAGATCTGCTTAACTCCAGTGCAGGTCCAAAAGCTTGCCTTTAAGTGTATGACCGTGCCAGTTAATTTGATCCTGCAATCAACAAGAAATAAAGACAAAGAAACCGCGGTTAAATCCATAAATGATAGCTGATCGGCTAGTTGCCGATGACATATCATTTATCTTTGAGCCGATGTCATATGTAGATCGATCGGCAATCGTGAATAAGTAAGAAAGAACTAAATTTACTCGATTGGCTGTAGATATTAACAATATATAATCCTTATGTCGATATATACTTAAATCAAGTTATTGGGATAGATCGGTCGCCATGCCGAGACAGTATAAATTACTTAGATCGAAAGATATATTAGCAACAAGACTATATATGTTCATAGCATAGCTGATCATATAGATCTAGCATGTATCAGCTAATACTCCGATACCACTCTATATTAAGATATTAAAGCAAGTAGAATATACCAAACGAAAGCCTAATATACCTAAATGCAACAAGATCTTAATATAAAGGGCAGATTTAACATGTCAATCAAGCATATAAGAAAAATATAGTTAAATCAGGTAAGATTGGCTGAAACCCGATGCTACCCTAATCGGCAACCAAAGACAGGCTAGAGGTTGAGATTCTAATCACGACTCATAAGATCAAACTCAACTAATGCAGGTATAAGTATGAAAATAAGGACAATATCTAGACAATCAAGCCGTTGGATGTTTCATAGAGTGGTTGATATCCTATGTAATCTAAGTCAACGTCGGTATTTAACCTAATCGACTGCCTTCTAGTAACAGACATTAGCCGATTGAAGGTTAGATAGCGATATTGACGGAGATTACATAAAATATATGATAACTCGACGATTTACATAAGCAATATTAGAGTATCATAAAGATGTAAGCACTAATACCGAGAACGCAAGCCGCCATAACAAGTTTTACCTCTAGTTGAAGATCGAAACCGATGCGGGCTCAACCCAAAAGCAAGAACTCGTCGAAACAAAACGAAAGTAAAAGGGTGGCGATGCGCCGAGATTGTATTGAACGTGTGTTAGATTGATTACATAGGGCTCGGGATCTATTTATACCTGAGATTACAAAATATGTCCATGTCGGACACGACTCTTATTTCTAACAAACTCTAAGATACCATAAGTCTTTGCGGCAGACTTTTGCCCAAACATATCTCTAAGGAAATTACATGAAATATCCTAATTAATATATACAATTGCCTTCTCAAAACTCTATCCATGGGTGGCAATCCTCATGAAGTTCGTTAGCTCAACCCGACAACGCATACCGCGTCACGTTGCCGGATTCGGCTCGATCGGCTAACCTCGTCCGACTCGAACTCTGCCTACCCCAACCGCAGCCGATTCGGACTTCAGCCGATCCGTACTCTGTTTTCATGACGATTTCCATCTCGAATTCCGCTTCAATCCCATCCTCATCTCCGATACTTAGATTACTAAATTTGGTTATTAACAGTCTCCTTCAGTGTGCATGATGCACGGGCGCCTTTCTTGCTCAGCCTTGGCGATGAGGCAATTGGAGCGCTCTCGGCCTCCTGCTATGCCACCTGCTTCTTCTCGACTGTCCAAGGCAGCACCCCGCGGAACCGATATAAGATGACGGCGCGCTGGTTGCCATCAATGTTGTAGAGCGATGGCAAACATGATGGAGGTTGTGGCGCCGAGCCTCGACGCAGCCTTGGTGATGTTGGTCTGGAACAACACCACCACTGGACCGCGGCCATGGTGGTCTCATCTTTTGGGGCGGCGACGCGGGGATAAACCCTAGCAAAGCTTCTCACGGGCCTCACCGAAGGAGCAACAGCATCTTCATCAGGTCAACTAGGGCTCCGCCCATGCCGCACGATGAGAGATATGGGAAGAGAGGGGATGGGAATGGAAGAGGGTATTGTGGACTTGTGGTGCTGACATGTGGGGTTCATATGGGTCCCACACTGACTCACATGCCACGTCAACTAAATTTGGGAGCTATACTGTCTTCAGACCTAATGTGACCGTTTTGCAAATATTCGGGATGCATTATATCCAGTATTACAAAACTCGACGACAAAATGAGGGACGTCAAGTGAACTTTTTCCTTTTTTTTCCATCTTGTAAATAATACACAAGGCCTAAGGGGTTGTTTGGTTTGTGTCCTGAGGGCCACGCCTGAGAAAAACTCACGCCGGACAGGCAGCGTTGGGAGATGTAACACTTGCCTCATCAGGCAGGCTGAAGCTTTGTGCGTTTGGTTCGCGCATATGCCTGAAGAATAATAAAATATCAAAAAGCAACTTTTACCAGCGCAAAGTATGGAATAAATGACACATTAGAAACCATTAAGAGCGGCGGAAGGGGCGTCCGCTCGGCTATGCCACGTAGGATAGGAACAGTGCGCGCGGTGGTGATTTTTCGAAAAAGCCCTCCAATTTGTTTGTAATTCGAAATAGCTCCCTCCAAACAGTACCTGTGAGATGTTATTTTAGGTCGAGACCCTTATAAAAGTCGGATATACATTAAAACGAGGGAAAAATCGCGAGTAAGGACAGCGATGTAAAACTTAAAAGACGAGGGGCTTTTCCGCAAAGCGACGCGCACTAACTCTAACTGCCCCAAACCCTAGCCGCCGCCGCCCTCTTCTCTCTCGTCTCTCCTCAGGCCCGTTTAGTTCCCCAAAATTTTTTCCCAAAAATATCACATCAAATCTTTAGACACATGCATGAAGCATTAGATGTAGATAAATAAAAAACTAATTACACAATTAGGGAGGAAATTACGAGACGAATCTTTTGAGCCTAATTAGCTAATGATGGGTTAATTAGGCTCAAAAGATTCGTCTCGCGTTTCTAGCCGAGTTATGAAATTAGTTTTTTCATTCGTGTCCGAAAACCCTTTCCGACATTCGGTCAAGCGTCCGATGTAACACCCAAAAATTTTCATTTCCTCAACTAAACACACCCTCATCCTCTCCCTTCCCCTCTCCCGCCGTCGCCGCCACGCGCCGCCGCCTCCTGCCCCTCGCGCCCCCCGGCCGCGCCCACCTCTACCGCCGCGGCCGCGTCCACCTCCCCCAAAAAACCCTAGCCGCCGCCACCTCTCATCCCACCCTCTCCCTCTCCCGCTGCGTCTGCCTCCCCCTCGCGCCGCCGTCGTCGCCTCCGCCTTCCCCTCGCGCCCCCGCCTCCGCCTTGCAACGTAGCCATCGTCGTCCCCGTCGGCTCGCGCTGCCGCCTCCACCTCCCCCGCCGCTGCCGCCGCCGTCGTCGCGTTGTCGTCTCCGAGCGCCTCCGCCTCCCGCCTCGCGCCGCCGCCGAGCGCAGCCATCCCCGTCTCCGCCACTGCCGTCGGCATCATCGAGCGCCCCCGACTAGCGGCCGAGACGGCGAGCTCGGGGAGGCGATGGCTAGGGCGCGTCCGTCGACATCGCGCTGCCGCTCCCGGAGATGACGCCCCGCATCATGCGAGTACCCCTGATCCCCTCCATCTCTCTCTCTCTTCGAATTTGCTTCTGGGATTTTTTTCGTTTCGTTTCGATGCGTTCGTGGGTGGGTGCGGGCGCTGAGTTGGAGGAATCACGGGAGTTTTTCTTTTTTTTTTTCTTTTTTAGAGAAAAGGCTCATCAAGGGAATTGCGGGAGGTCGTTATCTGTCTTCAATTTGGTTTTTGGTTCTCACACAAGGACTCCCGTTCGCGATTGTGCAGAGGTATCTGCAAGGAATTGGTGAGAGGACGGTCATCGCTAGACAGCTCGCGCTTCTCGATCGAGACGGTGTCTGGCGGCAGCATCACGAATATGTGTGAGTCCCTGCTCCTTGGCAGTTTCATGGCTTGTCGCGTTGTCATGATTTTTTTCCTTCCTGCTTCACCTAAGCAACTCGTTGTAAGTAGAGGAAAACAGAGGTCAGGCTGCTGCTCAAACAAAGGGAAAATTGGTTTTAGGCACATTTTAAAGCAATTTGGATAGCGGCAGACATAACATTATGGCTATTACCAGAACCTGATTGCATTTCTGAATTCTGAACATTTATGAACTTAATTGCATTTCTGAACTTTTGTGAGATCAGGGACTCTTTTACCATTTCTTTCTTGCTTTTTTAATGCCTAAATCATCTTATCTTATGTTGTTTGCTATAGAAAATTATATAATGTTCTGTCACTGAAGTACTACCAATTTACCGAGAACTTAGTGGAAACAACAACTGTAATTTACTGCTTGCAGTGCTGAGTGTCTCCGTAGAAGATGGCAAGGGCAACAAGTCTTCTGTGACTGTTCGTTTGTATGGCCCAAATACAGCCTTGGTGATTGATCGGAAGAAGGAAATGCAGGTGAGCATTTGAATAGTGTGATTATTGATGATGCGTGCATATCATGTCCTATAATGTTCCTTCATAGGCTGTGCAATTGGTTCATCTGTTAATCCTGCTTTATTTTATTTGGTGCATTTTTTTACAGCAAGCTCAAAGCACCTCATTGTTTTTTTCAAATATTCAAGGGCTTGTAAGGGTTTTTACTGTATTATTAAACTTTGTATTTTCCACATTGTCTTCTACAGTGATTTGATATAGAAAAGCAACAAATGTTATCGTATACTGCGACCATCGCAAACATCCATTTTGTCAAAAAGAAATACACACTATTTTCTGGTGTAAATCGTTCCCTAATGCATACATCTATTACCATCATGTTTAGGCTATACCACATCTCTCAGCTCCAGGGTTTGGGGTCAGCTACTTGGAACATTTGAAAATGGAATGGTCCAGTCATTCATCTATGCACGTACATTAACTCCTTCAGGTAATCATATTGTTGTTATTCGTGGATGGGGTGGGCTCTTTCTCACTGTTATATTGTCTAATATCATCTTTCTCTTTTTTCATTTTTTGTCCATTGTGAATTCAGACAAAAAAAATTCAAACAAGGCCTTAATTTTTATGATAAATTTTCATTAGATTAATTAGGACTTTCAAAAGGATATAAATCAACCTATAGTATTGGAATTGCGTAAGGCTTTCTTTACAGTCGTGTGATTTGTCACGTTTGTTGCTTGCTGTGGTCATACAAAGATATCCGTCTTGTGTTCTGATAGATGTATTGACATCAATATTGTTATGTTATCAATTCAGCAAGGATGTAAATGGAAAAGGTTTCAGGGCCAATGGGAGTGAATCATCGAATAGACAGCCAAAGGACAAAGGATTCTCATGAAAAACAAGGATTTCAGCTTACAAGAGGTGCTTGAATGCACCGCGGAGTGTATTTTCACATTTTGTTGGAGAAATAATTGAGGCAATGGCTGGACATATACCCCTACAGTAATCATGGGAAAGCTATTATCTGACAACGGGAGTCAAGAGTTCGGTGATTTTAAGCTCGTTATACATAGAATGCTGTCTGTATCTTTATGAAAAAAGAATGCTGTTATGTCCATATTGATTTTATCCCATATGCAATTTACTTGCTGCTATAGCAGATCAGCAATGCTTTAGGCTTTTCCATGCTGCTGTAATGTAAAATCATTAGGAAATTCCCGAAGTACACATCGCTTACAATGATTGACAGACTTAGTGTTGTTTTAAATTGAACGCTTGTTTGCTACTACAATTGTTGGGGTAAATGAACTTCTATATTTTGTTTGATAGAAAAGAGTTTCTGGCTCCCCTAATACCCTTTTTAGGGGTGCATCTCGGTGCTGCCACCATTATCCTCACGCGTCGCCGGTTGTCTGCCTCTATCCTCGCGCGAGCGGATCCATTGCTGCCGTGGATCAGGAAGCCATGGCCTCGTTGATGGTGGGCATCGGCAACGGCACCACCTCCACGCCCATGTTTGTGCTTCAACTACTGCTGTGGTGTGCATATTTCCATCGGTTGTGACCTGTTTACTAATCTAGCTTTTTAGCTTTTTGGTCTTTCCTCATCTCTCTTGACTCCAATCCTCGTCTTTCTGATTTTTTTTTTGTTTTTGTGTGTGTACTGGACAGAAGGAGCGAGAGTGTCACGATGGTGCAGAGCATATCCCAGATTGGCCGTATGGCGAGCAAATGGATAGATGGTATTGCCCTGCCTAATAATTAATAATTAGTACATCTTTGTTCACCGCAAAATGCAAATTTTAGTACATCTTGAATTATGGGGTGGTTCTTATTTTTTTTGGTATATGTAAACAGAACCTGAACATCAGATTTAATGAGAGATTCAACCAAGAAGCTGAATTTTTTTGCTACTGATGTGCATTGCTAAACCAGTTTTCTGTTGCATAAAGAGTCCTGAAACTTCTTGTTGCAAACTGAAGTGATGTTCTAACAATTTTCCATTGGAGCTTTCACTGGTTTTTCAGAACTGAAATCTTGTTTTCTCATCAGCTTCTCTTGCATCTTTCTGCAGGGTTTCTTTCATGTAGGGAAAGGAAATGTGATTTCAGTTACCTGACTGCTGCCGCAATCTGCGAAGCATCTACAAGCGACGCCATCGGTTCAGGCAGCTGGCACGGCAATGCCGGTTCCCCTTGCCTCCATATCCAACTCCTCTTGTGCCATTTACAGCTCCCAATGGTATGGATTCCAACTTGGCACTGCAAGAACACGGCTACCTTTTGAGTTTTTTTCCCTGATGTTGGTTGGTCACCTAGAAATGTTGGCCTAAGTGTTATTTGATATTTCTCACGACCATTCAAAAATTGAATCTTTCCCAAGATGTACGTGCCATAGTGTTATTGTTCCTGGTTCAGAGGTTGCAGTTTATTCTGCTCATAGAAATCCTGAAAGTTTAGAGAACTCCCTGTTGAGAAAATGGAAGTTTTTTTACTGCTGAGTTTTGTTGTCTTAAATGAAATTAATGCATGGTAGATTCTTTTGTTGTCTGAAAATGAAAATGTTAGCTGCTGAAATGTGACATTCAGTCAGTCTCTGAACTCTGAAGAGCCATAATTGTGCAATTTCAGGGGCCCAAAGCCAGCTCGTCTGCTTTGGGTGCCGTCCAGCCAGAGCAACGTCGGTTTGCTGCGCGGTTTGCAGTACCGTGACCGCTGTGCCTGCTCCCGGTATGCGTTTCTTTGCATCTCAGGTTTACATCTCAAGTTTTTTTTTTTGCAAGTAATATAGCATCTGAAAATTGAGTTTCTTTGCATCTAAATTTTAGAGTAGTTTAGAAGTTTATATTGTATCCTCTCTGTTTTATTTACAAAAATGAGTAGTTTTTGGTTTTTAGAGCAGAAATCTAGCTGCAATGTTCACAAAAATGTAAAGACAAATTAAAGGGGAATACAAACGGCTTCAGGGCTCCGCAATGGCGCGCACGTTGCGTTGATGGTGCCTATGCTCAGGTCCCTAATCTGCCGACCTTAGCTATGTGATCCGTTTTTTTGTTGCTGTCATAAGTGTTTCGCTTGTTCTGTAGGCCGCTCGCGAAGAAGTACACACTAGAGTTGTTGTTCGCATCTTCGCCGCCGTCGGTGACCGCTGCGGCCATGAAGGAGTGTGTGCTTGATGAGTACTCCACCAAGCACAGGATCTCTATCGATAGGTTTCTCCAGCTGAAGATATTTGTCAAGGTGCATGATCGGTAAGGCCTCATCCATCTCCACTAGACGTTGGGAGCTTCAAGTGCGAGCAGACTTGCCACTTTCCTGTATTAGATCAGCAGTCGATGAATATGATAATTTCAACTAAGAAAGTTCGATTACCGGTGTTTATTTATGTCTTTGGCACAATGGGGGACCTCCTGATCTATCATCATAAATGCCAACTCACTGAAATTTTCGCACGGCTACTTAGTGACAGTCAATTTGATCCTAATGCAATATGTCGCCCAAATAATCTTCTAAAGTTTATTTTGATCACTAATTGGCAGATGATTTACTGTATCTTTTTAATGGAATAGATGATTTACTGTATCATAATAACATCTAATGGTTATTTCCACTCTCTCAGGGCTTAAAGGTCACTGCATACGTGAGGTGCTTGAGCAGTAGGAATCTGCATCTACCATGGATGTTGTTGCTACACAAACAAAACAATATAATTGCTGGTATTATTTTCAAATTTTGGTCCTTTTGACTCTATATTAAATTCTTTATCCATTACTGTTTCTCGATAGTTTGCTGTGAATGATTGCCTGCACATTCAAATGATATGTGGGATTAGTTTCCAGTCAGAAGTGCAAAACTTAGCTAGATCTCTCCTGATGCACAAATCTCACTTTTTGTCCGGATGAATTCTACACATTTCAGACCAGAAAAATCTTGGTACAAGTCTTAATACAAGCCATTTAGTTATCAGCATATTCACTGCGTGGTAGCTATACTCTAAAAAATATTCCAAGAAAATATGGTTATGCTACTGTTTAATAATTTGCTGAAGGAAATAGCAACATTGCAAAGAGATGCAAATGGTGCTACTTGATGCTGAAACCTGAGTACCAGTCATTTTAATTGTAGCTGTTTGGAGCAAAGTTTTGGCTAGATGTAGTGCATAAATTAAATTTATTTTTGCCGCTTGAAACTTTTATATACACAGGCAACTATTTTTTTTCTTTTCATTTCCAAAGGCTTCCTTCCGTATTAACCTTGTTTTTTTTATCAAACTACTAGGTAAGTTGAACGAGTGTAAGGATTTTCTTTACCCTTTGTATAGTTTTATCTATGTTCTAGACACCTACTTGAAGCCGCTCTAACAGCATGGTCTTGAACTTTTTTTAAACCTCTCATTTAGTTTTCATTTTTGGCTATAAAATTGCACATTTCCTTTTGTTGTATAGATTGCCATTCTTGACAGTGTGAACATGGGTGGTGGCAGAGGTGTTTCCATGCATACAACATTTTGCATTGCCACTGTCAAAAAAATTCGCATTTCACAGGACTGCTATTGCATGATTTATCTTGGATTAGAAAATACTTTCTGGGTTATCTCTCGATGTGTTTTGTAATAATTGTTCATCGAGCAAGACTGCACTCAGTTCAGTTTGTTATGTTACTGATGTTACATAACGCCTTGCAAATCTAAACTTGGGATGGAGAGTTTTGGCATGTTTCAAATTATACTACCAAGTTGGACAATGTTTATTGTCCTTCGAACTCTAATTTTGAAGCTTAATCTATATCCTTAGAAGTGCCAATGTCAGCTAGACTATATTTGTGGTTTGGACGCATTTTTCAGTACTACATAGCTTATTGAGTTTAATAACATTTGCACAGTTCTCTTCTTCACCTCTGTGGTTACCTGGAACATTGTTCTTAAACGTTGTGTTGTTCCTGGCAGTGTTTGGGCCAACATTCTGTAGGCACCATATATTAATTTTACTACTTGAGCTTAGTTTGGGACTCCAATATTCTAGGCATTTTTATGTTGATGTAATGGCGTGGAATTTGTCGGTGTTCCATGTATATTTAATTTAGTTGCTTAAAAGTCGGTGGTTTCGATCCGTCCACATCAAGCCTCCACACATGTTCATTACTAATTCATCTGCCTTTAAAAGCAAATTGGTAATTAGGGAGTAATTTCTGAATGTTCTAGGCTCAAAAGTGGTTCTGGTAATCTTGAATATTTGCTCTGGATGACATTCCCTCTATTTTTGCTTCTGACTTGAACTGTGACCGTGCATCTCTGTGGTGATCATGGATTAAATTAGGAACAATGGTTTAATTGGGTTATTCTAGGGAGAAGTGATATCCATTGGTTGTCATGGCTGCCTGAATGGGAATTACATCATTTGATTTTAAGATTTAATAGCTTAAGTAGCATTTGGGCTCACTAAAGTGCTTCCTTTTTCTTATCTTTCAGACTTCCACTATGAATTATTTAACACGCATAAAAGAACTTCCCTTGCATGATTTTTTTATTATGAAATCAATATTTATATTGACAAACCTGCTTAGCTTCAGTTGGACAATGATAAGCTGCAGTAAGGCTCTTTCTCATTGAAGGACATTGGTGGATTCTGCACTGCTGTTCTATTACTTAACTTCAGTAGATAATATATTTGCCCATTTGCTTGACATCACATTTTTTATTTTCTCTGTTCCATATGGTGTTCTATTTCTCATTTTAGGTGAACATTTGTCTAATTTATCTGTACCATGATCTTTTTCTGAAGATATTCTCCGCAAAGAGAGATCATCTAAAGCATGGTTAAAAAACAGTAAGTAGCGAAAAAATCATGGTACAGGAGTCAATGGTACGCAGTAGCGAAAACACGGTTAGGAGTTGCATATTATGCTGTTTTGCTATTCCAAAACGTTTTTGAACTGTAGCAGGATGTTTGTTCCTATTTAAACGAGAGCCTTTTGAGCTTTTGTAGCTTCCCTGCTGGTTACATTCTAATAAAACAAAAATAGTCCTTATTGAAATATGCACTCTGTAAACAGTAAGGGGTTCTTATACTGTTTTCTTTAATTCCACACTACAATAAAAAGAGTGAGATCAGATGGCAAGCATTCTTTGTGAAAACAACACATCCATATCTGGATGTAGTGGTTGCCTTCATGTTAAAAGTGGGTCACAATTTCCAGTATTGGAATCTAATTTAGTACATGGCAATGAAATTTCATTGAGCTGTGAAAGTGAGGTATCAAAATTAAGGTTGGTTTCTATTCGTTCAGGGTTGACCTTCATCCTTCTCATACAAGTATTTTACTAGGAAATCATGAAAAAGCATGGTGTCTTAAATAGTGGACTACTACCATTTTTGTTTTTGAAACCTTAATTCCTCTCTCAAAATTTGCTACAGGTATACACCCATGGTACCTCAGATACATCATGTTCCAGCCGTTGAAAGAAAGTTGCATTCATTCTGGTGATTCAAACTTTCTGGATCTTGAATGGCTTTCAACTTGAGACAACTCAAGCGATGAAAGGTGTTTACTTTGGCATTGCTATTGCATTTTTTTTTAGCGTTTTCGACTGACATAATATCATCTTCACAGTGACAGTCAATTTAATTTACACATTTTCTTTTGCCTTAGTGTAGGAAAACATTAAGGATAATTATTAGTTGATTCTCCTGTAAATTTCTTACCCTTCATGTTTAATTTCATATCAATCTAAATTCTAGAGTTCTTTTGCTCTCACTGCATTTCCATGTAATAAATACAAATATGTAGTCTCGTGTTGTATCACTTGATATAACTATCTGTATTGAGAGGTAAAATGAAAATTATGTTGCCACACTTCCTAAATCCAATTAATAAGTGTCTTCTGAGCTTCCAGTATGTTCACTGATACTGATTTGAAGATATCCTCTGAAACATTTTTTTTTAAAAAACTCATTAATACTGATGGATTGTACTTGGACAGGTCCATTGCAATTAATACTCCGGATGTGAACCTTTCAGCGGAGAATGTTATTGCCACAATGTCTTCTTTTGACTGGTAGATTTGTATGATCAAATATAGTTGTATCATCACCATGGACACATTACTCTGATCATTATGTAAAACTTTGATTTTTATTTTTTATATGCATTGGTGCTTCATCTTTAGATTGTAAAGTGTAAGAGTTTTGTTCTCAACAGAATCTGTAAAACAATGTATGGAAATTACTCATCAACGGCATTCACTGCAAATGTATTCATAGGTTTTTTTTTCTTACATAATCATTGATTCAGCCTGAAAACAAATGATTAGTCTACACTAATCAAGCAATCTATATGCAGGCGGCGCGCTATTGGCGCGCCCCAGCATCTAGTGCATCATTAAGAGTAGCTGCCTGAAGCTTAGGCGTCCAAATTTGATGGCTTGGCTCAGGCTAATGAAGAGTCAGGTCAGGCAAGCTCAGGATATACCAGGGCACAAACCAAACACATAGTTGTTGGAGCTCAGACAGCGCCCTGGCCAGGAATACAAGCATCAGGACGCGGGCTGGCATAAGCCTTGGGCCAATCTTGGGTCCGTCCCTACCACTAGCAAGACGCCATATGAAACTGAGGATAAGCTTCCCGCGCACCTTTTACGAGTGTCTACCAGAAAACTAATTTTTTCAAGCGACCAAAACTAATTTTCACAGGCGGGAGGGAGGTCCGCCTGCACCACAACGACTGTGAAAATCATCGATTTTTGCAGTCGGGGCAACGGCCTGCCTGCGAAAATGCAAAAAAAGGAAAAAAAAATTCGCCGCATGCGGCTCGCCGCCGCCGCCACGCCGTCGCCCCCCTCCCCGGTTGGATCTGAGAGGGGAGGGGAGGGGAGCCGTCGTCGTCGCCGCCGTCGCCGGCGCCGCTGCCGGCCTCCCCCCTCCCTCCTCCGGCCAGATCTAGGAGGGAGGGGGAGGGGAGACGCTGCCGGCCACCCCGCGCGCGTCGTCGTCGCCGCCGCTGCCGCCCCACGCCGTCGTCGCCGCCGTCGCCCCCGTTGGCCTCCCCCCTCCCTCCTCCGGCCAGATCTGGGAGGGAGGGGGCGAAGGGAGCCGCCGCCGCCGGCCGCGCTGCCGTCCCCGCCATGCCGCCGCAGTAGCCGTCCCCGCCGCGCCGCCGCATGCAGTCGCCGTCCCCGCCGCGCCGCCGTTCCCGCCGCACTGCCGGAGATGAGAGGAGAGGAGAGGATAGTGAGGGAGAGGGATCTGAGGGAGAGAGAGATGAGGGAGAGGATAAGTGAGGGAGAGAATGGGACTTAGAAAAAAAATCTGCTCCAGCCTAGTCTATTTATATTGCTCCTCATTTTCGCAGGCAGACCATATAAGGTGCGCCTAAAATGATTTTCGCAGGCGGACAGCGTACATCACCCCAATTTATATTTTTGTAGGCGGTCATTTGGCTCCAAAAGTCATGTCCGACTGTAAAAATAAGACTCTAATGTTGGGGAAAATGCTTTTTCTAGTAGAGGCCTAGCGTTCGTGAAGGATCTAAACTACTATGTGCGTGAGCTTGACGACCGCAGAACAGCCGACGTCTTCATCGGCCACAAAGATGAGATGGGGGTATCGTGTCCTTCATGCAAGGATACAGCGTGTACATGCGCATCTCGCTCGCGATCGATGTCATATTTGACGAGAGCCCCAGGAGGGACTGTGGAGAGAACTCCTTCAGCGAGGAGTTTACGTGTTAATTACTTGCCACAAAACCGGGCTTAACAGAATACAGGTATATATAGCTCGGATAGAGTTGTTGTGCATCTACTAAAACATAGGAAACTTATCTTATCTATCTAAACATCCCAACAACTCTTATCCTTCGCTATTTGTTACATTATCATATGTGAGAAATATCTAACACTCCCCCTCAATCTGAACCTGTAAGGTTTAGATTGTTTCTAAACATCTCTAACTGTCTGACTGACAGTGTCTTGGTGAAGCCATCAGCAACTTGATCTTTGGTAGATATATATTCCACTTGTAAAAGTTTTCTTGCAACCCGCTCACGAACAAAGTGATAATCTACCTCGATATGCTTGGTGCGAGCATGAAAAACAGGATTAGCTGTCATATACTTTGCACCAATATTATCACACCATACCTTAGCAATTTTGGGTACCTGAATTCCCAGTTCATGAAGTAAGGTTTGTATCCACATAATCTCTGCAGTAGCATTAGCCAAAGCCTTATATTCTGCTTCTGTACTAGATCTGGATACAGTAGCCTGCTTACGTGCACTCCATGACACAAGATTAGGCCCTATAAAAACAGCAAAACCCCCAGTAGAACGCCGATCATCCAAACATCCTGCCCAATCTGCATCAGAGAAAGCACTTACAAGAAGAGAATTAGACTTGCTAATTTTTAGCCCAAGCTTAACTGTATGTTTCAAATATCTCAAAATCCTCTTAGCCGCCACCCAATGCTTAGTGGTTGCTGCATGCAAATACTGGCACACCTTATTTACTGAAAATGATAAATCTGGTCTAGTCAGAGTCAAATACTGCAATGCTCCAACCAGACTTCTGTACCTGGTACTGTCTTCTGGTCCAAGAGGATTACCTTCATGAGCACTTAATTTTTCTGAAATAGACAAAGGAGTATTGACTGCTTTACAGTCACTCATATTCACTCTCTTTAACACATCCATAGCATATTTCTCTTGTGTCAAAACTATGCCATCATTTACTTCTTTCACTTCAATGCCTAGGAAGTAATGCAGTCTTCCTAGATCCTTGAGTGCAAATTCTTGATTAAGATTCTTAAGCAAAGCATTAGTGGCAACAATAGATGAGCTGGCTACTATAATGTCATCCACATATACCAACATAAATATAGTAACATCTCCCTTACTGTAAAAGAACAAAGATGTATCTGACTTAGATGATTTAAAACCTAACTCATGCAGCTTAGTACTTAACCTGGAATACCATGCCCTGGGAGCCTGCTTTAAACCATATAAGGCCTTATCTAGTTTGCACACATAGCCATCTTTCTGTTCATAACCTGGTGGCTGCCTCATAAAGACATCTTCCTCTAGAACCCCATGAAGAAAGGCATTCTGTACATCTAGCTGACGAAGGGTCCAACCTCTAGAGATTGCTATGGACAAAATAGTTCTGATAGTAGCAGCCTTAACTACAGGACGGAAGGTGTCCTCATAATCTATACCATATCTCTGTTTGAACCCCTTTGCCACAAGTCTAGCCTTATATCGATCTAGACTGCCATCGGCCTTTCGTTTGACCTTATAGACCCACTTACAATCTATTATATTCTGCCCTTTCTTAGAAGGAACTCGGTGCCAGGTTTTGTTTTTCATAAGAGCCTGATATTCACTATCCATTGCTTCTTTCCAATTTTTATCACCTAAAGCCTCATGCAAAGTTTGTGGTTCTCCAGAAGATGTAAAACAACTGTATCTAACTGTCCCATCAGTGTATATTTTCTCTTTTCTAATACCACTTTGTAACCTTGTTTTAGGTCGCATTACCTCAGATAGCTGTGCAGACTCAGACGGCGCAGATGATCCTGGCTGATGTGACTGCTGCGCACCACCTGACGAAGACGCGACAGCACGGGCAGGCGATGGAGGAGCAGCAGTAGGCGATGCAGCAGGCGACGTGGCGCGCGCTGGTTGGATGCCCGAGTGCTGCTGCTCCGACTCCCCTTGCGTCGCAGATCCGGAGGCCTGCCGCTGCAGCTGCGCCTAGACCGACGCTGAATCTGAGGCGGATTCTCCCGCCAAGTCGCCATTTGCTCCATGTACCCGGCCAAATGCCCCCGGTATATCTGAATTCACATTTCTGGGAGATTCTGCACATGAAATATCAGTAGCATTTGGCATAGAGATATTAAACAGATGATCATGATGTTCCTCTCCCCCTTGATCAGATGTTTTCTCATTGATTAGAGTAGGAGGAAGCAAAGAAATTTCAGCTCGAAGCCGGGCGCCAGCATTTGGATGAAGATTAGCAAAGGGAAACACTTGTTCATCAAAGGTGACATCACGAGATACATATACCCTGCCGGTAGAAACATCTAGACATTTGAACCCTTTGTGGATATTGCTAAAGCCAAGAAACACACATTGCTTTGAACGAAATTGAAGCTTATGAGTATTGTAGGGGCGCAAATTTGGCCAACATGCACAGCCAAATGTTCTTAGAGATTTATAATATGGTGTTTGCTTAAACAACCGTTCAAGGGGTGTATCAAATTTTATGACCTTACTAGGAAGGCGATTAATGAGATAAGTAGCAGCTAAAAAGGCTTCATCCCAGAATTTCAAAGGCATGGAGGCATGAGCTAAAAGAGATAGACCAACTTCTACTATGTGGCGATGTTTGCGCTCTACAGCTCCATTTTGTTGATGTGTGTGAGGGCAAGAGACATGATGGGAGATCCCTATTTCATTAAAGAAAGTGTGCAGCTTAAGATATTCGCCTCCCCAATCAGTTTGCATCGAAAGAATTTTGCGATCAAATTGCCTTTCAACAAGTTTCTGAAATTCATGAAACTTCTGAAACTAACATAGTATTTCTTTGCACCTACAGACTCAGAGGCAGGCCCCCACACATCGGAATGAATAAGTTCCAAAGGATTATTTGACACACTAGTTGATCTAGGAAAAGGTAATTGATGACACTTTGCTTGTTGACAAGCATCACACACAGACTCATTGACAGAATTACTAAGACAAGGCAATTTATTTTGACTGAGAATTCTAAGAACAATTGGCTTGGAGGGATGACCAAGACGCCCATGCCACCTCTCAAAAGATGGCGTCGCAACGAAGGCCTGTCTCAAAGACAATCTGGCTGGAAGTGGGTACAGGCCTCGTCGACAGGGACCTTCAAGAATTGTCCTCCTCGTGGCCTTGTCCTTAATCAAAAAATATTTGCCATGAATTTCAAGAAAAGCATAATTATCTGCAACAAGTTTATGAACAGATACTAGATTTTTCGCCGCTTCAGGAACATGTAAAACATTTTTAAGATGCAAGGGGCGACTAGGAGTAGGAACAATAGCATGACCAACATGTTTAATACTCATACCTTCGCCACTTGCAGTGTGAATTTGATCTGTTCCCTTGTATCTCTCCTTGGTTGTCAATTTGTCTAGCTGCCCGGTAATGTGATCCGTCGCCCCAGTGTCAACATACCAGTTGGTATCAACACCGTAGGCGTATGTTGCAGCACCGCCAAGCTTCTCATCAGGAACATATGAGTCATCATAACGATG